TATTTATCAAAGCACGTAAGCATGTATTTAAGTCCCATTGATTAAAACTGGCTTTTGATAGGCCCTAAAAGCTATTCATGTACTTCCTTGTAGTTTTAATGATAGAGGTTTTAATTTGTTTCATATTTTCTTCCTACATTTCTATTTTTACTTTTCTTTCTTATCCCAAATGAGCTTGTGACCTCAATTTCCATGCAATTGCTGGGATCAGCCAGCAACAGATACTAAATTAACAAGGTTGTCTGGCAGCTAGTCCTTGTCCTGGAGACTGAACTTATTGTGAGCACTTGAATGATACAGTCATCACCCACAGCCCTGGGCATGTGATGAATGATAAGAATGGAATTCTCCTAGTTATTTTGCAGTGAGATGCTGCCACGCAAACAATTGGTTGTAGGCACATGAGCCACAGTAGCCTCAGGTCAAACAGAGTCAAAATACAGCCTTGTAGTAAAAGCTTACGTTCCAGAAGAGCAGATATATTATAGTATCATTATGACCCACATCTTTTAGAAGCGTATGTTTTTGGTAGCTCTCACTTCTGTCTTATCTTTGTTATGTCTCCGTGGAGAGCCATTGTCTTCATTTTACAAGACACAATCGTCACATGTTTTCACGTTTTACTGTCCATCCCTCATTCATCGCAAAGGGATAGTCCAGCTATGAAAGACAATATGAGCATGCCCTTCCCTCTGTGAGAGCTTCTGCAGGAAAAGCCCCAATGATGCACACATCTTCCCTGAAGAAATTTGTCAAAGCACTTCAAAATCCATCACAAGAAAAAAAATGTTAGAAAGTTATAATACTGAAAGGCTAAAACCTACTCTGAAGAAAATGTCTGATAAGAACATGGGCAGTGCGCATGGTTTCCCAATAAAGATTCTGCCATTGGCATGGATCAGTAAAAGCAATGTGAATTTTTAGCAGCAGTTATATTATGGGATGCAAAGTGACCTAAAAATATATACCATTTCAAGCAGTCAATATACATATAAAGGCCAAGACCAAGGTTTGCCAACCCCAGTTATGTAACTAGAGATCATCATTAAACACACACAGTCTACTGAGGACTGTTGCATCAGCCCAGAGTGACCACAGTTCATGGTGTCCCCCCAGGCATCATGTAGTGAAGTTCCCAGATCTAGCTCTGTCCTGCAAATTCAAAATCTCTGGGACAGTCCTGTGGTCGGCACCAGGTAGGATCAGGGTGTGCACCCTTTGGGTCTTGATGTAGAATTTGAGAGTACAGTGTGCTGGGGTATTGTTGTCCATTCTGGTGACATGGTCGTACACAGGCAATGTAAAAAGCGACTGAAGGCAGGGAAGGTCTCTGTGAAATTATGACATTTTGCACAGAAGTCAAACTGCTTTATGCTCAGGATTTGCTGCTGACAGCGCATATGGTATGCCTCTAGCCTCTCCGAGTCTGCCTGTAAGAGAGTCCAGGTTTCTGATCCATATAGTATACAGATTTGAGAGATCCTGAACTTTGTTTCAGTGCAAAGCTGGTTTTGCATCCATAGAAGCGAGACTTCATGCCGGAAGGGGTGAGACCTATTCGCCAAAGAAAGTCTGGTTTGCTGTGACCATTTGAACTCTGCTTGCTGCCTAGGTAGATGAACTCATCAGTGCTCACCACAGTACTAGATGCCACCTACACCAGGGAGTTTGGTGGCCTAGCTAGGAGGTTCAGAACCTTGGTCTTCTGCCATGAGAGGTTCAACAACCCCATAGCATAGGCAGCATCTTGAACGCCTTGGAGGGTGGAACACTGACTGTTCCACCAGCAAGGCAGTGTTGTCAGCATAGTCTTCATCGGTGAAAGACACAGAGGTTAAGCGACTTGTCCAAGGTCACATTGGAAGTCTGTGCCTGAGAAAAGTATTAAATCTAGATCTCAAGTCCCAGTCTGGAGCCTTACACACATATTAAGAAGAAGAGATTGAGGGTCAGTAGTGGAATATGCACATTTAAACTTTTCAATAGAAAAGAAACATTTTCAGCATTCCTATGGAACACTTTAGAAAATCACAAACTATTATGCTAAATTATACAAAAACTGGAGGCTCTCAGCCAATGAGAACCAAGACTCCATATCACGTGATTTCTCAACGAAATGGCCACTCTTCTCAGTGCAGACTGATTCTATTTTCTCATTTCCTTCCCCGGGATTTCCCTTTTCTTCTGATTATCTCCTTACACCTTTAACAACGTTAAAGTTTCTGCTTCCTGCTCCCATCTTGGCACCTCTGCCCCGTTCCATGCTCCCTCCCCATAACATTTCTTAGGGTGAGTTTGAGCCTTTGCTCAAAGCCCTGTGTAAGGGGTGGCACATAGCTTTGCCACTCCAAGAGCTACCCTGGGAACGAATTGTGAGGTTCTCCTTCCCTGTTCCCGAAGGAAGTAATTTGAACCACCCCCTTTCAGGTGCAGATTACTTCCTCTCCATTGCATCCTGCCAGTTTAGCAGGGTGGGTGTGGAGTCCAGGCTTCTCCCAATCCCCTGTTTAAAGTAGAGAGTCCCAGACATGTAGCTCCCGTGTGCTCAAGCTCAGATGTGCATAGTAGGCTATGCAGAGGGTAGGCTTCCCCTCCACCCTTCCCTTACAGCGGTATTAGAATCAGGCACACTCTGACTCTTAATTAAGAGAAATATTTTTTTCCTTAGTCATACCCGTTTTCTGTCCCCTGTGCCCTCCGTCCCTCTTCTATTTACAGAACTCTGGAGCTGAAGGCCTGCAGAACTCTGGGGCTATTCGGAAGCCAAACACTGATCTCATCTGAACGTGGCAGACAGCCCTGACTTTCTAATGGGCTGGCCCCAAACTCTGGATCCCTACATTTCAAACTCCGGAACGTGAGCTGAATGTGCAGTGTGAGATTCCCTCGGCTTCTCGTGCGGAGTGAGGAAAATATGAAATACGGTATAATCTGTGCAAGCTCATTGTACCATCCCCATTCTGCCTGTTGCCCAGCATGTCAGGTTCAGCTGCTGCTGATCCATCTCTCCCTGAAGTCAATGGCAAAGCTCCCATTGACTTCATTGGATGCCGGTCATTGGCCTCATTCGGCAGGTCCAGGGCTGAGTCACTCCCTGATCATGTACATGGCCTCTAAGGGCCCAATCCTGCATTACTGAAGTTAATGGGAGTTTTCAATGGGAAAAGGAATAGGCTTCTGGGGTTTGATCCTGGGTCTGACTCTACAAGGTAGTGAGCACCTAAGAGCATATGTCCTGTGACTTGCTCTGTGCACCACTTACGAAGTTCTGAGTCTTCTAAACTTCCTTGGAAGTCAGTAGGAGTGCTTTGCAGATACAGGCCTTAAATCAGAGGACCAACGTGACTAGAGAGTAATCGGGGATTTTGACAATCACCTTACTGACCCTGATAGCTGAACTCGGCACTGGGGAGTAGCATACAGGACAGGAGAAACAAGGCAAGGTGAAGTGTACTGTGTTTAATAGCCTTCCCCATAAGGGGGCGGAGAAGGACAACAGGACTGGTACCTTGTTTTCCTTGGCAGTTTGAATACATCCGGTTCCCCCGCAAGGATAAACTACTCAGCCAAAATGGATTATTGCCTCATAAAAAGGGGCACCTGCTCTGTTATCCCTTAAATGAAAAACAGGCCTAAAAATATATGAATAAGCCATGTTGTTTTAATGAGGCATGGAAATGAGCTATCACTGCCAAAACACTACCCTTTCTCAACCGCCTCTTCTGATTACAAGAACTGTAATTTGTTAGCTCCTGGCTTCCTGTTATTAAGCCAATTGTTCAATTTTCAGGAAGCTTTGGGATTGTAGTCTAAAGCTGAGGGGATGAAGATAGGGCAACACGGGCCTAATCCTACTTCCATAGTGTACCATGAAAGTCTGTTAAATTAGGGAAGTTTTAGTATTCAGATAGTATTTATATGTGGCAGGTGCTCTGTACGGAGAAGCAAGGAGGTGAAGGCCATGCCATGAAGAGAGACACACTATAGGCCAGCCTTTATCACCAAGCAGAATATGAAGAATGACTCACTCGCTGAGTTTCCTTTGCGGAGTTATCCCCACAGCCTTGTACTTGTTTTTTTCCTTAGAAGCCTGGAATGGCTCTGAAAAAGGCACTCTGTTTGATGGAAAAAACAAACAACCCTTGTGTTTTCTTTGTATATTTCACATGCTTGTAAGGAAAGAAATTACTTACCTAGGATAAGAAGATTCCTGCCTTTTATTAAATATTAAACTGAAAGAGAGAATACCTTCAGGAACAAGCCTATATACCTGGCAACAAGGCAACCGCAAAGTTCTCTTTACCTTAGGAGCTGTGGCCTTTTTTCCCTGCTGGGTCACTTGTTCTTTGCAAAAAAGCAACCATTTCAAGAAACCATCCAGGCACAGTTGGGTCTCAGATAACTGTGGTTATTAAATATACACCAATATGCAGCTACATGGCTCTGTTTCTCTGACTGGTTTCTGGAAGCTTCTAAAACACAGCACATGGTTTTGGCGGGGAGGGATAACTCAGTGGTTTGCGCTTTGGCTTGCTAAACCCAGCATTGTGAGTTCAATCCTTGAGGGGGGCCATTTAGGAATTGGGGCAAAAAACTGTCTGGGGATTGGTCCTCCTTTGAGCAGGGGGTTGGATTAGATGATCTCCTGAGGTCTCTTCCAATGCTGATATTCTATGGGGAGCACCACTGTAGGGCTCACAAACTATTTAACAGGGATACTGTGCTATTCCTATGCACTACACTCCCCATCAGTAAGAATTACCAACCTCAAAGATATCTTGCGAGACTTCATTCACCCAAGTTTACCAAGTGTTTTGAGATATGTAGGTGAAAGAATTATGCCTTCCCCACTCCCCTGTGTCCTGCACAAGGCCTGGGTACAAGCAGGCCATATGTCTGTCTGGTCTAGAGTTTTTTATTATTCCCATCATCATTGTATCTAGGTGCCATTACTATCACAGGGACAATTTTCAAAGGGACACATAGTAGTTATGCTCCCAGTTCCCATTAATTTTCAAAGAAATTGGGCATCCAGCTGCCCTTTGTGCCTTTGGAAATCTACTCCATATATGTCATAATAGTATAGGACTACATATGGGCCTTATTCTATAAGTCACCAAGTGCTCTCAAATCCCACTGGAGTTGAGGGTTCTCAGCACCTTGCAGGATTAGGCCCTAAGGTAATAAACTGTAACACTAATACATGTGCACCATGAAACTTTCATTTGTGTGGTATGCTGCACTAATAGTGGCTACATAATTATTAGTGCATAATTTGTAACATTCTTAAAATGATAGTGGAACTGAAACTGGTGGTGGTGTGAATATTTTGAATGTATTTTCTTCTCTAGCAAAAAAACAACAACAATATCAACCACTGCTGTGGTATTTTAAATATATCATAATATATGGGTCAGATCCTACAAACCCTTACTCACATGAGCAACCCCTCTGTCTTCAAAGGGGCTACCTGCAGTGACTATATTTTAAAAGTGCATATGACGATCTATTGTCCCACGTGGGCGATAACTTTTCCTACTTGTGGAATTTAGACGTTAGTGGGACGTATCGTTCAGATGAAATATTATGAATATTTTCCCCTCAGTGATGAAATGTTCTATTGCGCCTAATATGGGGACAGTTTTTGATATAGGCCGAATGGTTCCTAGGATGTACAATTCTTTCCACTATTCTAAACATTACTGTTTTGCACAAGGTGTATTGTCCCAAAGCTCATTGTATTAAACTGTAGAATCACTGCTTTTGACCCACAACAGAGTAAGGATATGACACATCGATTAGGATATATTTAAAATACCATAGAACTTGTTGCCATTACTATGTTTTGCTGAAGAGTAGGATATATTAAAAATATTCACACTGCCACCATTTGCTCTGGAAAAGAAAACCATTTCTTTTGGAGGGCATAATTGAAGTGCTAATACTACCTAGAGGGCTGGAGACTTAGATGAGGATTCACACACTCACCACGTTGTACTTGTCTTATAAAGCATATCCTATTAGCTGACACATTCCTTCAATAATGTAACTTGAATCCCTTGATTACCTCCATGTCAAAAATAGCGAGTCAGCTATAACATATGCGTCAACAGGGTTTAAAGCTCTATTTGTTTACTTATCTAGACAGATGTTTGAATAGTTTCTGTAACTTCCAGTAAAACATTGCAGACAACTGTGAAGTTTGCTAACCCCTTGGTAAAGCAGTCTCTTTGGAGTCATTAGTTCACCACAAGATAAACTGCACTAGTATGCCATGCTTCCACTCCCAAGTACTAGGCTGACGGAAAAGCTCAGCATGCCATTCCCACCAGCAAACAGGGATTAGGTTAATAAACTTCTGCAGTGGAGATTGTGTCTCTGTTTTAGATCAATAACATTAAAACGAGGACAGGCAAAGCATTCTACTCTGTAATCTTGCTTTTCTCATCAGACACATCTTTTCTTCTACTGTCTTTCTCTCCAATTAATGATGCTGAGCCCAGTCCTCCGCTAGGGTGCAATATTGTGCCCCGTGAGAAGAGCTGAGCCAAAAATTCACCAACCGTGCAGTTGGAAGCCTCACTTGTTTGCAACCATGCGTTGGCTTCCAGGCTCAATACTTAGCCAGGAGTGGCTGGTAGCAGACAGAATATACACCTCGACCCCGATATAACGCAACCCGAGATAACACGAATTCGGATATAACGCGGTAAAGCAGCACTCCGGGGGGGCGGGGCTGCGCACTCCGGCGGATCAAACCAAGTTTGATATAACGTGGTTTCACCTATAATGCAGTAAGATTTTTTGGCTCCCGAGGACAGCGTTATATCGAGGTAGAGGTGTACCATGCCCATGAAAGGACCATGGGTACATCTTCACAGCAAACAGGCAGCAGCAAATTTCTGAGCCCAGCTCAACTGACTCTGATGCTCTGTGAGGAAGGTGTCTTAGAGCCGAGGCTCAAGTCCAAATGTCTGCACTGCTATTTTTATCCTTGCAGCCAGAGCCCTGCTAGCCCGAGTCAGTTGAACCGGGCTCTGAGACTTGCTGCCACAGGGGTTTTTTGCATGTAGCTATATCCAGTGTGGCTTAAATTCCCAAACAAGATGGCTAGGAGAATAACATTCAAGCCCTGGGCCAGCTAAGGCAGAAGAGGGGAAAGTTGACATGTAGCTATGTCACACAGTATCTATTATGACCAATGGGTATGCAAGGGACTAGTTTTGGGCAGTTTGAACAATCCAACCACCTGCTATTGTCCTATAACTGGGACCCTGTATATCCCATTTGCCCCAAGGCACACATAGGACGTCATGTCACATGGGTATGGTGCAGGGTGATCAAACTTTTCATCATAGGAACCACATCTTAATCGAGACATTGTCCGGTGGATGCCTCGCCTGCCATTTGTATGGTCTACCTCCCTTCCTCCTCAGGGTATGTCTATGCTACCCGCCGGATCGATCCAGCGGGGGTCGATTTATCGCATCTAGTCTAGACGCGATAGATCGACCCCCGAGCACTCTCCCATCGACTCCTGTACTCCACCACCACGAGAGGCGCAAGCGGAGTCGATGGGGGAGTGGCAGCAATCGACTCACCGCAGTGAATAGATCTAAGTACATCGACTTCAGCTACGTTATTCATGTAGCTGAAGTTGCCTATCTTAGATCGATGCCTCCCACCCCCAGTGTAGACCAGGCCTCATAGTCACCCAGACCACACCCCTGCCATTTAGGATCACACAAGAGCACTGTAGAATACCACAGTTTGAATATGTGTCACATGCCCCCTTTTCCATTACTCTGCATGCCCTCTATGAAACAGTAGTACAGACCTGGCCTGGACCACATAGCTTGAGGGGGAAATTCACCCCTGTGCAGAGGTACAGCACAAGATCTAGGCATCACATAAGTGCCTTGTG